GTATATATCAATATTCAATAATTAATCTATATGTTTTAATTAACTTTATAGTTTTTATACTATTGACTTGAGGGATTAACACAATTTTAATAGGAGATCCATAACCGTAAAAATTGTAATATCTTAAAACATTTGTTGGCTACGAGAGTCTCGCAACGTATGGAAGGAGTAGTGAGTGGTAGCTCCATTCTCGCGATTTAACTGCATCGATATCTCGCTAAAAATATCGCGCTCGAAACCGCGCCCGTATAACTCTGCTACGATAAATTCGTTACCCTCTAACAGATAAGATACATTTTTATTCTACTTTCGGCCGTGCGCGTAGATAAAATGTTTCCGAAGCGCATGATATCTTTTATATATACCGGCTGCATTTAGACGCTCGATTTAACTGAAATGCGAGCACGCGTGATAAAGAATAACTCGTAAACTCTCTTGCATCCAGAAAAAGGCGAGTGCTATACCGCATCTGCTTACTGATAAAAGTAAGAAGAGTGAATTCTCTCTTCCGCGATTAACGCGATAATTAGAATCTATACCTCGGGAACGTTGTCGGTCAACTCCGCCTATTTATTAAATAATGGAAAAATAAAGAGTTCGGAGTAACAAAATAACTTGCCATACGCATGAAATACTGCGCCATTTCTATCAGAGATCGGAACTGGATTCCTTTCAGTAGCAGTTATGTTATCCGAATCGAACGTGGTGGTCGAGGGTTAAGGCTCGCCGCATGCTTCGAATTTCGGCGAGCAGCCGTGTGCGCACAGAGAGAGAGAGAGAGAGAGAGAGAGAGAGAGAGAGAAGAGAGTACCTCTCTTGATCCTCCGAAATAAAATCACTGCGCGTTATCGCCGTTAACGATCCGGATAGAATATCGAGGATCGCGTAACCGCGCGCCAGATATATAGGTAGGTACCTCTGCGCGGTCGCAATTTGCAATAACTGTTTCTCGGAACGGAACAATTTTTTTTTTACAAACGCACATTTATTAGCGCGACCGTGCGCGTCGATATGGAGCGCGTGGAAAATACATAGTAACGTAGTTCGCAGATAATACCATGCTGCCTTACGACTCTCTGCCGATGAGCGACTACAATGAGAATAAATAGGGCAGCAGTGGTTGCGGATAACTCACGAGAGAAATAAAAATAGGCCCGAGGAGAGATAAACTCCGAAAATGACACTGCTCGATCTTTCACGAGCTCGCATGGCATGTATTCGCTGTCAGTCTTAAACTCGGGACATATTTTACGGAAACTTTCGAAAATTTTAAGAAATCCACAATTGCATATCGTACGTGTTCGCTGCCACTTCAGTCTTAAAATCGGCACGTACTTTGCGGTAACTTTTGAAAATAAACTTTGAAAAATTCAAAATTGCTAAGTTGATCTTCGAGAAAATATTCGCGTTAAATTGTTGTCGTTCCAAGTTTTTAACTCTGGAAAAAGTCTTATTTTATTAATTGGAATTCTAATAGATCCAACCAGATAGGTACATATTAAGCACTTGTAGTTAAATTCATGAAATTCTTGTTGGCACAATCGAAACATTTTTCTCATTGAAGCAGCATTTCTTTTTAAATAAATTTAAATCCAAATTCGATCTGCGGGTACATACTTTGATAACATTTTCGCCAGTCATTTGTTATAAGCCAAATGTCTAAGCCAACATCGTTAAACACATTGCAATCGCTTTGCACGTTTCAAAGGTTAATTAATCTCAGACAAAATTATTTTCGATACGGTACCATGCGTCCAAACACATCGTGACTTATACACGCCCGTGGGCTGATATAAATTGCCTCCTCCGCCCACTCAAGTGCCGTCTTTAATCGCGGCGACCAGATCGATCATTCGGCGCGACTACTCGCGATCTCGCGCGATAATTAATATCCGGGCGTCGCGATTTACGCGACGGGTGAATAACAATCATAGCAGAAGAGGAGGAGGAGGAGGAGGAGGAGGAGGAGGAGGAGGAGGCGGAAGAGGAGAGAAGGAAGCCGATCCAGTCTCCCCCGACGCAGTTATGGTGGGTACACTGTCCGCGAGTCTCGCACGCGTGCCTTTATTAAATATTGCGTTTAAATGACTCTGTAACGGTCGACGAGACGCATAGTCCGACGCTAACGAGCGCCACGACAGCGCTCTAACGAGGCGCTCGTCGCCCACGCGGTTTTCAGGGTTTCAGGCCACGCCAATATAGCGGCATTGCCGGAATGACTCCCACGGTGTAACGTCAACGTGGCACCACTTTTCCACGAAACACACGCAATACCGTTGTGACAAAACTGTAAATTGAATATCGATCGTGTTCCGTGTCGGTCCCGTAACTTATACAACCGGCACGTCTGTGCCGTGTCGCCGATCGTTAAGCCTATGCGCCTCCCAGCTCGGAAATGAGTTCCGGCGACTGAATAACGCGAGGACGGAACCGTCGATGGGATAGTTTGGTGTCAATCGTACCATTGAGAGTAAAGCAAGACAATAAAGGCAGCACATTGGCACGCAGTTGGAAAAGATGTGTGGAATTTAACATTAATCGCAAACGGTCCGTTTGCAACACTGAAATTTTTCAGTTAATTTATACACACAGATGAATATGTTAGAAGGTAACACAAATATTATGTAAGAGAATAATTACAAAGAAAGATAACATCGACACAGTTTGCAAACAAACCGTGAAAGCATATTTTTTGTCAGAAAATTAACATTTATGTGTTAAATTAGCACGGATTTTATTCATTTGTCTTAGAATTTACGTTTTAAAACACATTATTTTTATGGTATTTGTTCATTTACTCATAAATTGTGTCATTTCGACACTGAAAAACATTGACTATCTCAACTCAATTTCAAAAAATCTTCAAAATAACATAATCACATTATGTTAAATTAACACTCGAATATGTTAAAAAATTCAATGCAAACTGTTAACACAAACGTGAGTGGATCGCTTCCAACACAAATACACAATTTTTTTTGCTGTGTAAGGAAATTGTTGGAACTGTCCCTCACCAATTTTTCATGGGCTGTAGAGATACTGAAAAAAAAAGTCTGGTAATATAGCTATCAAATATTAAAATAATTTTAATCAAATCTTCGCGATTAATGTAATCAAAAATAATTTTAATTTTCTAAGTATTTAGCAATTGTTATCAAAAAAGTTGATTGTATTATTATGTTTGTGGTAATATTTACTAAACTTTTAAAAAAGCAATATTATTTTTATATTGACCGAACACTCGATTGAAATTACTTCACTTAATATTTAGTAGTTATCAAATTCTTTTTCAATTTATATTGTAGAGCAAAACTTTATAAAAAATATTAGACCTAAAAATTTAAATATTTATACCTAAGTCTTTTTTATCTACTTTCCTCAAGGTTTAGGAATCGAAACAATCGTAAATTAAAAAATTTAGCATTTTTTGAGGAATGTAAACAGTTATGAGGAATATAAAATATTACAAAATGTTTTTTCTCTTAGTTCCCCTCATAGTTTCGAAGATCTGCTCTGAAACTGGAATCACATCAATCAAAATTCTAATAATCAAATTTGTGGTAATTTCAACTAGAATATTTAATAGATTTAACTATAAGTATCCCATTTGTACATTTGTGTGGTGGAATCGATCAGAATTCCAATTAATGCAATCAGATTTTTTTCCACTGCAAGTTGCGATACCTAGAACGATGATACATTTTAACTTGTCTATGTTATTCGAGTATCTTATTAATATTCCTTTAATTTATATACACCACTCGCAACAAACAGGCGTTTAAAAAAAAACGAGAAATGTTTATGCATATTTATCATTCTTCTTATTGATGTCGCGGTGAAAAAAAAACCGTTGCGATTGTAAAAGCATAAAAGCAAAAAAGTACTAGGTCGTGATAGCTCGATGTCAACAAAGCGAACGTCACTGGCATTATAGTTTACGACGTAAAAGACAAAATCACAGCTTGTAAGCAGGAGAATATCGTTTCGTGCTAAGCGCGTATTTCAGTTGCCGATGTCACTTGTCAGCACGCTATCGCGACAAAGTACTAGGTTCGCATACTCGTTCGCGATGAAAATTACTCTGTGACCGGTGATCAAACGCGATCGGATTGAATATATACAAATGACAATCGACCTCGTCTGAAGGCTATAAAACTTACCGTCGCCGTTCACACGCGTGATACAAATATATCCGTAATTTTATACAAAATTACTGCTCATTATGCGTTATTACCAGCTCGAGAGAACAAGTTTTAACCGTCGTTGTTTTTGTCGGACAGCAAAACTTCGCCCCACATAAGTCGTCGTTACGCGATCGCAAGATGTGCAAAAAAATCGAATTGATTTAATCACTTATTTTGAATAAACGTGACACTGACGGTGCGGGGATAGAATTGCGTTACAATTTTACGCACTCGTGCAGTTTGTAATGGCATAAAGTTGCGGTCAAATAAATTAATAACAATTATAGTCGAGAATAATCGACGCCACTAACGATATTGTGCATTAATTAAAATCGCCAACGAGCGAATGAGTATCGCTTACCGTGCATATTATCGGCATTTAACTATTATTGAGTGATTTAATAATCGATCAGATTTTAAAATAATTATTAGTAATTAGTACTGATCGAAATATTGAGACACCGTTGTTGTAAATATAATTTTTTCAAGAAGGACAAAATATCTATGTCCCACATCATATTTCTCTCCCTTCAAGATTTTTAAATTTTTATATAGCTATTATTATTATTTTTATTTACTTTTTAGCTATTTATCATTATTAACTTATAATTTTTCAAAGATTCTATCGAATTAATTAGATACAATACACGCTTTCAAAATTTTTAGCCGCAAACATAGACCATATTTTCGACTTGCCACAGGTTTCCAATATTTCGGATTCGGCCACTTGTAAGATTTCTATACAAGACACAGTCGCACAATTATTACGGTCTAGTTAGCAGAATCAAATCGCAAATAATCAAACGTGTCACTCACTGTGCATATCGTTGGCGTCTGTCCATGGACTTTGCTGCTGTTGGAAGGAGGCTCCGGTCCTTTCGGAACGTCCAGATGCGTCCGAGATGGCAGAGGCGACGAAGTAGGAACGTTACTCGAATTTGGAACGTGACTCGTCGGTAACGGCGTGCCAAGTGGAAGATCTGGGCGGAAAAACCACGTGGGCCACTGTAACGAAAAGCAAAGTCGATATTATTCAAGACCACTCGCTTTTCCTGCATATTCCGTCAGTTTATTGATAACAAGTTACGCATGTAACTTGTTATTATCGTCCCATAAATCATTGTTGCCAATTGTTTTTCTGCCTGATTACAGATTTCTTGGCTGAATACTAAATATATTTTATAAATCAGGAACAAATAATTTTGAGTAGACATTATCTTATATGATTTACAACTTTATGGTAATGTCTTGATTGGACAGGATTAATACATAATGAAATATCTATTAATTTTAAAAATATATATAAATTAATTATTAAGAGAATAGATCACTTTTACATATATTCTTTTTATACTACACATTTATACACATAATTTTTAAATGCATCTTATTGTTCAAAATAAGTTCCTAAAAGAGATAATCATCAATATCTTTATCAGATATCTTTTTACGTGATACTTAAAGATTAATTTATAGCCAGTATTTCTCTTTCCTTTTGTCGCTTATCGCTTCCGACATATGGCAACTGTATCCCTGACGCGGAAGGAATAACGATGTGACGAAACGACACAGCGATCTTATCGGAATCGTCTCGTTGGCGATAAAACCAGCCAACTGTATAAATCGAAACAAAACCTACCTGTATCTATCAACGCAAAACTCGTTACACTAATAAATATTTCAATACTTAAATTCAATTTAAGTCAATATTTAAAGTCACCGATCATATTGTTTTAAAGTAAAATCTATAATAACATTGTTGTCATTGCTAAGAATTCATTCATTATTTTCATATACAATACATATCTAATTAACTTGTTTTCCAAGCAATAAACGTGGTTTTTAACTCCTTTGCTCGATATTTAATTTGTAATACCTAATTATTTATATTATATGTTAGCTTATATGCGCCAACTTAAAAAATAAATATGTGAACTCCATAGATTACGATCAAGATATTAAATCTTATTTATCCGATAGCAATCTAAAATTAGAATCTGAAATATACGTTAGATAATTAATAACATGTTTCATGTAGACAAAGTTATTTATTTTTTTACATGACAGACATAGCGATAAATATTATGATTCGGAAATGTTCAAAGTAGCGATTAGCAGAAAAGATCTATTTATATATTTAAAAAAAATTACTTCACTGTTCATTTCAAGTTCTCAAAAACTGCTACGCGACTAAAATAATCTCTTTCTACAAATTTGTAGTTATAACGAATGAAAGATAATCCCGACTGCTATAAACATTTAAACTGAGAGTAGAGCACAATAGAGGGGGTTAATAAACGAGCTCATCCATTTCATCGCTCATTACATCGTGATGGCGCACGGAGCCTAAAGGCCTCTCTGCTGTTTCGGTGGATAAAGGTCCCACTGTGAGCGGTGCATTGGAGTGTCGCCGCGGCTGAATATGAGCGCAGCTCCCTAAGATAGATGACATAAGCCCCTGACCCTGTAAGAAGCGCACTCGCCGAGCGCGAGGTCGTCGCGCGTGTGGTCCATTGAAAGTGTTTCTTGTAGAAGAACCGGCCCGCTAAGAGAGAAGATGCTCGCGAAGAGAAAAGGAGCCTCTCTCGTTGCGTGCTCGCGCTGCGCGTTCCGTTCACCGTGGTACGCGGGTAAGGACTTTTTGATCGTCCTCGACGGAGCCCACGGTGAGGCTGCGACACGAATTCCATCCGATTAATCGCGGCCGCGTGCGCGATTCGTTCCGCCCCACAAGCTCCGTAAAAACGGCTCTGCCACCAGACTTAGAGTTCGTCATAGCACCGCTCTGCCGCGTATTTCCAATCTTTTTTCTCACGTTTTCTTTGTCAGGACTATCACGAAAACAAGTCCGTCTGTAAAACATAAGACCACTACTCCACAAAAAAAAAAAAAAAAAAAAAAAAAAAAATAATTTTGCTCCAATCTTTCAGTGCATCGAGATCGAATTATCCACCGACAGCGCGTGCCAATGCAGTCTTTTCTGCTTCAAATCCCGTTTATATACCGTGGAAAATCTTACATCAGGCCATTGCTGTAATACACTGTGCGTTTTAGTTATTTTCGTGCCCGAAGGCTTAGCATCAGCACCATCGGGCACTATTGGTCACGACGCAGTGTAGAAAGTCGGTAGAAGGGACACAAGAGAGAGAGAGAGAGAGAGAGAGAGAGAGAGGAGAAGAACGATTTCAGGGTGGTCTGGCGAATGTCTCTTGTCGTTGGCTCGCCAGGAGTTAACGCCAAAACCGAAATAACAAACTCCTAAAGCCCGCGAGTTAACGCGCTACTTCGCGCCATTTCGACGCTAGTGATATTTTCTGTTTACCGTAACGATAGTTCGCACGCCGCGGAAATAGTTCAACATCGACGGACTCGAACATGGGCATTTTAACTCTCTCCAAACTGGAGCATTCAAACTTCAAACTTAAAAAATAAATTATAATTCGACATTTGTGACAACAGCTACGATCTCTTCGCCTCGATATTTTTTAGTCGTGTATTATCATTATTATATATATTTAAATAATTAGCAATGTAGGTATTAATTGTTTTTTTTAGAGATACTTTTGTTAAAAGTTAACAAAATTTAATTTAGCCCTCTCTTAAATACATTTAATACATTTAATATAAAAAAATCAACATTTTTTTCCAAATACTTGAACCAAGATTTTTCTCTAGAAAATGAAGATAAACTGCAAATTTTTGGTAGAAGCTGCGATTGGTAGTAGCTCTAGACATTAGAGAGATTCTATCTCAGCGTACGATGCGAAGTATTATCGCCATTTTTTTCCGCTCTAGTATGAGAGCAACAACGGTATTCGCGCGAGGAAGCCGCGTGTAATATCGGGCGGACTATTTTTATACGAGAGATGTTCTCTCGAAAAACGCGGCGTGGTATTCTCCAAATTCCACGCTGGCGAATCATCGTTCTGACCGGCCATGCGCTATAATATACATCCGCTCGAATATTCCATTTTCAGACGAGAATATCGGATAAAACAATTTCGTCGTCGCGGAAGTTCACCGTCGACGGTCGAAATAAATAAGTAAGATTACATTTTTTTTCTTATATTTTTTTAAAGAAATATTGTACTTAAAATTTTGCAACAATAAAATATTAATGAACGAGCAATGAGAACATTAATACAGCGCGGTATTTGGAGCGCAATACGTATCATTACATTACAGTATCTATACAAACTTCTTGAACGTTTCGGTTTCCTTCAAACCATCATCACATATCTGACTTCCATATGGATAGCAGCTGCAACAATATCTTTATATTTAATGTAAAATTAAAATTTTTACTTATTGCAATATGACGTGTGGCGCTTTGAATTGTGATCTATGAGGCGAAAGTTAGAGTCCCTTAAATAGAAGAGACATTTCGGCAATTCTCAACTAGGAAATAGAGGTATGTTCATCTGTCTAACATAGAAATTATTTCCAACATCTGCGGACTATAAATATTGCTAAAACATTGTATAGTAAATTATATACGGCATTGCTGATGATGGTTTCAAGGAAACCGAAACGTTCAAGAGAAGCTTGTATAGATACTTAATTAATAAAATTATTGAGAATATATACTGTACGTATTGCGCTCCACGCTGTATTAATGCTCTCATTGCTCGTTTATTAATATTTTATTGTTGTTTGATTTTCGAGAGCTCTATTAAATATATTTCGTTTATAAATTTTATACGTAATTTAAAATGCAATGGAAAATCATGCTTCTACACAGCTAAAAGTAGTCTAGTCGGAAATTAATATTATATATTTTTCTTCTATTTTAGCTTGAGAATGTTTTTAATGTAGGATAATGTGACGATATTACATATTCTGTAAAAAATACTTTGAACAGTTAAGGCTATCAATGAAAACATTTCTGAGGTACATGTATACGATCAAGGATTCCGCTTAATTGCGCAGAATCCTGAAGACGGTTTGTATGGCGAACAAAAAAGTACCCGTAGTCACGAAATGTCACATGTTCGATCCGTGACAAGAAGCGTGACTCTAATCGACTTTCTCTCTCTCTCTCTCTCTCTCTCTCTCTCTCTCTCTCTCTAATTGTTAGGAATTCCTCGTAAATCGAGGAAGGAACGCGCGTTTTGCAAGAAATTGCGATTCCTTGGGCGCATTTTCATAAACAATTGATTTTTAGAAAAAATATTTAGCAGCAAAATGAAATTGTATTAATTCAAGCTATGTTAGCAAAAGCATTCGTAAGTTATTTTAAACGGCAACACCGCAAAAGGTTTTCAAGTCACTTCGAATGTCATTTACATTGCGCGGAATTGAATTAGAGATGATTATGGAAAGAATGATTTTGTTGAAATGAAAGATTTTGCTAGATACAGATCTGAAAATAATTCTATTGAACCATAAAAATAATTAGGAGTAATAGATACTGCAAAGAGTTTCGGTAACCAATTTGAGTGGCCTGCATAATTATTTCGATAATGTAACAAAAGTATCTTCAGATCTCTGTATCTAGCTAAATTTGAAGATGCTTCAGTAAAATCGTTATTTCCGTGTGACAGAAGAATTCGTATATAGGGTCAAGCGCATTGAGAATTAAGTGTTGCGCGGCAATTTATCAGAATTTCACGCGAGCCACACGCCGCGAGAGGATCGCTTTGCGATTTTCCACGGTTACACGGAAAGTGACATTATTCGTATTGCGTCGTAGTGGCGGTGGTACGAAATTTCCAGACCCCAGAGGTTGCGTCTCGCGTAATGACGAAGTGAGGATGGCCCGACGAGAGGAACACGAGCCGAGCACCGCTTCATTAACGAGCGGCCTGGAAGAAAGCCGACCGACTGCGTGTATCTATGCGTTTAACGCGTGTAATATACAGGCATGTTGCGCATATATTACGTTACACGTGGCGTAATATACGGATACACGCGCACGACCTCCCCCCCGATGGACAATAACGACGACGACGGTCGTGCAGGTAATTGCCGCCATTAGGACGTTGTACCGCAAATGACTAAATAAC